TAGATAAATTTAGACCAATTAGACCCATACAACTGAGCTGACTGTTTTTAACTAATTCAAAACCAAACAATGTAAATAAATTCCTAATTTGATTATGTGTTGACTAGACAAATATGCAATTTTGCTACTATTTTGAGAAACAAAAATGCTCTCACAGTCACAGGAATTGTTTTATCAAGTTGGTGGACTAGGGCTTAACACTGGTTGCCATTTTAGGCTTGTACAGATAATTTTTGGAAGAAATTAATATGATGTGTTATTTGTTAATGTATAACTTTTGTCAAAAACATGATTTCATAGCTAAATTTTAAAAGCAACTTAGGTTCAAAGTTTATTATAATAGAATAATCAGAAAGGAAATTTATTAAGCTTTAATTTGATATATAGGTTGTTGGGATTTGATGAAAAGTAAAGCTTTCAATGCTGTTGAAAGGATCAACTGTCGTGCATGAGTGCGTTTCTAAAAATAAAGTCACTTTAAGGGATTGTAACCTGAACTCAAAGTCAGCATGCTAAGGGTTAATGAGTAAAACTGTTTTTCATACTCTTTAGTTATGCTAACCTCAGTGTCAGGGAACTTTCTGGAACGTTTTGTCGAGTAATGCAATTATTGCATCATACTTTTTATGCAGCTATGTGTGATGCATGTACATCACAAGATTGCTTGCCTGGCGCTTAGGTAGTCGCTGCTTACGTGGGTTGTTTCCATGAGAGATACACTTGGGAGGGAAAAAAGCAACACGGTGTGGGAGTGCAAAGAAGCTTTTCATTGGGGTTTGCCTTTAAGGATTGTGGTGTGCATGGAACTTTGGAGGAAGTGGTGAGTTTGTGTTGAGGGTTCAAGTAAGATACTTAGGATCTAGGTTATTGTATTGTAAGTTATTATATTGTAAGTCGCTCCTAAGTAAGAATATTACCTGTAGTTTAATAAAGTAGTTTAGTTTATCAGAGCAGTGTTTCGCTGTCGGTTAGATGCCCACCCTTAAAAAAAAAAGAGGGATAGAGAACTAACATGGAGTGGAAACGTAGCTTTCAGGGCTACCTTTATGCACTCTTCCTAACCTACATTTAAGCTTCCCCATTTACGAGCACAATTAACCAAGCTTTATCAACCTTAGACTGTTTCCAGGAAATGCAGCTTTCAGTACTAAGAAATAAGTATTTTATAGCCATAAGATTAGCATGTAAAAATTTCAAGCAGTATTCAATTGGATTCATCATCATTATGTATGGCCTTAATGTAAGAACTGTTGTATATCTTAAGTCACTCGTTACTTTGTTTGTTTTTCTTTTAATCCAACTTAACTATTTTCCTTTTTAATCCCACCATAGGTAATAACGAATCACATACTGCATCACCCTCCTTCATTTGAAGGGATTGAGAGATTTGGACCTGTTCATGGTAAGTGGATGTTTGGCTACGAAAGGTTCAACTCATGGTTATGCAGAAGGGCTAAGAGTAGGAAAAATCCTGAGGCAACCAGCATCACAACCTACAGGGTAATTATTTATCCTTTAAGTGGCCACCGTGTATTCCTGGAAGTGTAAGAGGCAAATTTGTAGAGACTTTGGCAAAAAGCAAGTGGGGTTTTAAAAGAGTTGGTTGAAATGTGCTACAGTCAATTATCTCTTCCTGGACCACCATCAGAGCACAAGAATTTTGTTACTTATTGGCATAACTTGCAAAATAAGCCACACACTTGAATCTATTGACCAGTTCAAAAGTTATTAGCTTAAACTGGTCAGTTAAATGAAGCTACTACCTTAACTTAAGCGAGTCTTCGAAAGAATGTTTTAGGGGAAAACAAGGAGTAATTTCCTTGATTGACATATTTATTATGACATATATTGAGATATATTTCCTTGGTTGACTGCTGGGCGTTAAGCCTTTGATAGGAAGTTGCACAACAAAGCTGGCGGTACTTCAAGCGGTACCTTCAGTGAGTCTGATACATTGCTGCACATGGAAATGCCGAAAGAGGTGAGATTGCCCTCTCTTTCCTCAATATGCTACTAACAGTACTCCTAAAGAGGAAGAATACCTCCTGACAAATTGGACAACACAAAGTCTTGTTACCAATAAATCATAAGCAGAACAATTTCTGAGAAAAAGGAATAAATTTCTTCAAGAGAGGCTTTTGATATCCACAGAGCCATTGTTTAGAATATAAAATTCTCGTGGAAATTTCTCAGAATTTTAGAGTAAGTGGTTGTTTTTTATGGTTATTGTAATCAATTCTGTGAATGGCGGATTCAGTTGAGTGCACATAGTGTGATTTGCTGCTGCAACTGTCGGATTACAGAATAATAACAAGAGAGAATATAGCAGGAGATACAACAATCACATTTGAGATTGTAAAGGTTATGATTGTTAATAATAACTCACCTAGTAATCTACAAAAAGATATGCCATTGTTTACAACTGTCATAATTTTGAGATTTCTTGTACTTTTTACGTTAACTTAGACCACCTGGGATAGCATATGACAATTATTTAGCACTGTACACCAAAACTCCTTCAGAGGATAAATTTATAACAAATCAGTTCTACAGGTTATGAAAGTCATCTTAATGATAAATCAGGGATCGTGATGAACTCATCAACACCTCTTTTAAAGGCCTATGAATATATCATTGTAATTCATGGGCCACAAGTTCAATACATCCATGTATGGATTTCAGGGAATATTCATGGCCCATTATTTTTGTTCTCCCAAAACAAATGTATTGTTAGCCCAAAAATGCTCACTGATTGGAAATCATGGGTCTAAACCCTAATTCATGGAAAATGCAGGGCTTAAAATAACCACATGAATTTTCATTTTGCAGCAATCAATAATTTCAAGGCCTTGGCATTTGACAAGTTCACTATAAAAGCAATCAATAGGAATAGTTCAGAAATACTTGGAGGCAGATAATGACAATGTAAGAGCATCGGGAAGGCCACATAACTATCTTTTTAAACATTTGAAATGGACAGAAGCATCCTAAGATGTACAAGCACTTCCTGAGTTTAAATGTCCCTGCTGGATAACCTTTTCCTTGTTACAAACAGCATGGTCTGCGGTTCAAAGTCCACGTGGAAAAGGAATCCCATCTTGGAGAGAACTGACTTTAGGGAGACTATTTTCGAGGTTGGTAAAAACAATGTTAAACGCACGCCGCCTTTTTAAAGCGAAGTTTTTGTGTTTCCTGAAATCTGATTGGTTTTCTACGGTGGCATTTTATTATAAATTGTAGTATGGTAAGCAACATCAGCAGTTGATATTCCAACAAACACGATCGCTACAGCAAAGTTCATCTACGTTCATCAGAGTTCATCTAAGTTCATCTAAGTTCATCTAAGTTCGTCAAAGTTAATTTAAGTACTTCAAATTTCGTCAAAACTATGGATCCCTACGACGTCTATGTCGAGAGCCAAACGTCCAACTTTAATGATTCTTTTATGGATCAATTTTGTTCTGACGACGAAGAGGAGTTTGTTGGCTTTACCCGAGAAGAGATCTTCCTTGGGACATCTAGGTCGTTCTAGTCCGGTCGTTTCATGAGCGCCTTGAAGAAGACGGACCCGAGAAAGAGAATGTGCCACCTTCAGTGCCTCCTCCTACCAAGAAGAGAAAGGCCGTTTCTTCTACATAAGTTTAATTTTTATTTGACTATCTTTTCTCGAACGTATATTCAAAATTATTTTGAACTATTTTCTCTTTAGTTTAAGAAAGTGAAGGTTTTGATCAGCTTATTTTTGAAAGAGTTGAGTGAACATGTTTCAGCATCTAGTGAAACGACAAAATTCAGTTTTGAACTCTTTTCAATTCTTTAGAAAGTGCTACTCATTGACAAGTTGAGTTTCGACGTTCTAAGGGATTATTTGGTAAAATTTGTGCGATACCTAATGGCTAAGGAAATCTCAAGTCTCATAATAAATCACTGATGAATTTATAAGGAAGCAAATCCAAATCTCGTCTGATCTAATGCTTATTCAATTTACGTTACGTTACTTAATACTCAATTATTATTGAAGGCGGCAGAGATTTACTTTCTGGTTGAAAGATAAATTTTACCTTCAGCCACTGTGTTCAGTATCGTGCAGACGTATCGGTACCTTTGTGTTTCCCTAGCCAAACTTGATATGATTCCTTTCTATTCATATTAATTATTATAATAAGTTGAATTGAATGCAGTCTTCCTTGATGTGTTCTCATCTGTTGAAGTTTGCTTATGTCTCGGTTCTATCTGCTTTTTTCGTTTATGGAATTCAGTTTCATGCTTCATTGTTATTATATTATTTTATTAAACACAAAGAGGAAGAAAGGTTTTGTTCAAAATATACTTTTTAAGCGGTTTTCGTAAACAAGTTTTGTCTATTTTTGCAAATATTGAGGCTTTAAATTCCATAAACATCTCTAAGTTATCATTTCTACATTGTATCATCTAGGAGGGTTTGATAGCATCCGTTAGTTTGATCTTGACATTTTGATTTTCAAATCCAACAAAGAACAAAATGAAAAGCTAAAATAGGTTTTTAAGTTTAATTTTGATGTTTCAGTTTCAAAGAGTTCAAACATGGTTCTAATTTCGCTAGTCAAGGCGCTGTACTTTTGTATGCTACTTGTGTCATCTTTTCCGGGTACAAACTTGCTGCAGTATCTTTTTCTTTGCAATTTCAACGGATTTAGATGGTTTTATATATTATATATAAATATTTACAAAGTTTGCCCATGCCGGTCAACGTTGCCATGGCAACCGCAACCACAAAATTACAACGATGGCTATGATAATTTTTTCTTGATTTGGATGTTTTTTTTTTTATTTATTTTGTAAAGTCAAGAAAAGAGGGAAGGGGTTGGGGTTTGTATGTATGTCGCAGGATTGATTCTAACGTATGTTCTTTTGTATAGGTCAGAGCCCACATTAGTTCCTTTCCTCGACAAACATCCCATTATTCCCGCAAAGACAACCCTGACAGAGAGTATCTGGAACCAGGATGGTCAGTACAGAGAATGTACTACGATTACTTAGAGATGAACGAGCCAGCTGTTCTTGAAAGGGAACGCGAAATTATAAGGTAACTGTAATAGCTCAAAACAAACCAACAGTTAAATGAGTTTTAAGGTCTTAGGTAATAAAAAGTAAATAATACCCTTTCAACGTAAAAAAACGCCAGAAAAACGAGGAAATACACCGAGGGAAAAAAAAAGGAAATTGTAAAATACAAAAAGTTCACAAGGACTGCCAATGGCAAATTTGAAAACTTAAGCGTAAACTTTTTATAACAAAGGACAATGTCGACAGGTATTAAAGACATCAGTTCACGGTAGTTTGTACATCTCTACTAAACGCACTAAACGCATTACTTTCGGCACTGTGATAATAGAGAATCATTTTATTTCCTTAAATGTCAGCAGGAAAACACAACACCAATTCCACCGAAACTGAAAGCCCACATCCTACTACACACATACAGGGACATCTTCAGTGGAGAATTCAACCTGGGCTTCGCACTACCTCGCACCGACACTTGCGCCACCTGCGATAAACTGGCCCTCAAAGTGCGATCATCCAAGGGCACGGAAAAAGAAAAACTTGAAAAAGAACTCGAGGAACATCACAAACTTGCCGAATCTGCATTTACAATGCGCAAAGATGACAAGGCAAGCGTGGTGAGGAGCTGGGTTGGAAAGCCCCGTCCAGTTGGCTCTTCAGGAGTAAAACACCGCAGTAAAGATGCCGTAGACATGATAACTTATGATTTTCAACAAAATCTGGAGACCCCAAACTTACAGCATAACGATATGTTTTATAAGAGGCAGCTGTGGACCTACAACTTTGGTATCCACGATTGCGTGTCCAACCAGGGCTATATGTTTATGTGGGATGAGACGACAGCCAAACATGGGTCAGTGGAGGTGGCAAACTGCCTGTATAATTTCCTCACTGAGTTTAACACTGGAGCGAGGTAAGTTTTAGTTTTTTGTATTTTGGAACATCGGTCGGTTGCATCTTAGCGTAAACCTCGACCCCTGCATGTTTGATTTTCAAATTTAAAAGTTTGAAGCGACGTTTCGCATGAGTGATCACAACAGCATTCTAGTATATATCTCTAAAGCGCTTTGAAAGAATTTGACAAAACTTTACTTAGAAAAGAAACCTATGTTTGATAAAAAGCGGAGCAACGCCATAAGGGTTCAATCTGCAACAGTCAAAAATACTGTTTAGAGTTTTGGCGAATTTTATTATCGCCAGAACAATTCCGTGATCGCCCGTGCAATATATAAAGTGATTACCATATTTACTCGATTAAAAACCGTCCTCGAATAAACACCACAGTTTAGAGCAGAAATGATTATCATAATAAACGCCGCCCTCGAATAAACACTGCATCATTAAAAAGCAAATGCAGCAACATATAATCGAGTTTGTGCAAGCCTACAAAATTTATGTTTCTTCATTGTAACAATGTTTTAAGATCAGTACATTTGAAAATCGAAACACGAGAACAATATACGAAACATGGTTTTTTTTTTTTAAATCAAATATTCAGTTAACATACTATTCTTTGCAAAAAACAAATTGGATTTTAAATAAACTGCGCCCTCGAATAAAGGCGGCACTCGAAGGAAGAATAATTTAATAAACGCCGCGGTGTGTAACAGAATAAATAAGGTGATAAAGTGGATCTGTAATCTGCGTCAAATACACGCTCAACTAATAACTTACGAAATCATCTGCTGTTAGGGAATTCCAAATTTCTAAGCGGCGAGCCAAGTATAAGTGTAGTTTTCCCGTTATATCGAGGTTTCCGACAAGGTGAACCCTCAATTTCGCGAACAAATTCACCTAGTCCCCAGTCATTGTTAGATACAGGTCTCACTATAACACGATATTATTTTATTCTGTCTTTATAGGTCGCTCGTAAGCTACTCTGATGGCTGTTCGGGTCAGAACAGAAACAAGACGATAGTTGCCCTCTACGCCGAGCTACACAGCACGGGCGTTTACGAGGTACTTAACCACAAGTACCTCGTGAGGGGTCACACGTTCCTTCAAAATGACACAGACTTTAGCCAGATCGAGAATAGAAAGAAAAGCGCAGTGGTGTACTTACCAGAGGACTGGTGTAAAGTCGTCAGAGAGGCGAATACAGTGAAATCGTTCGTGGTACGCGAAATGAGGCAGCCTGACTTCAAATACTGGAGGTCCTTCTTGGAATCCAGGTACATAGACAATTAATCAGATAGTAATCGACGTGCATTTCTTGTATGAGGTCACCCAGATATGCACCCCCGTTTTATTGCGTCAATATGTATGTACAAGTTATAGAGCGTTTTAGAGTGGCCTACCGTAAAAAATCCCGGTAATAGCTTGTTTTTTCACGTAAGCCTTATAAAGATAAGGGGGGAGGGGGGGGTGAAAGTTCAAGGGTGCGATATTCACGGTGTGCTACAAGAAAATCATTACTTAATTCTCCGGATATTTCCACTAAAATTTTTTGAATATATC